TGCTGTAGTTTCCATACTTTCCTGTACTGTGAGTGGCTTGTATGGGATCTACCAATATAGTCAAGGAATAGACAAATGTCAAAATGGATTCTTTCATTTTGGTGATGAAGTGCTAGCTTTGCTTGGCAGCATGCAAGGTTCAATAAAAGCAGACAGGTCTTCAAAAAATTGCAGCATAAATAGATGAACTCTTTAAAGTAATATAAGTTCTGTCATCCAGATGTGAAATATAGACCTAAGTGCCCGCCGAAGTAAAAGCTGACCGCACATTCCATAGATAAGTGTTAAAGTTTTCTCAATGTCTTGGGCTGAGAAATGTTTTAACTACATATCTCCTTGCCACAATAGACAGAATGAAAGCATTTGAAGTTAAATCCATTTTTCAAAGGAAGAAAACAAAGCATCCATAAAGAAACAAAGGCATATCACAGGATGAGGTCTCTGGATAGCTACTGTCTTCAGGAAAGTTGCAATTAGCTATGCAATGGAGAAGGTGAACTTAGTTGTATTTCAATAGCATTTACAATTATTTCAGTAGCTAGAACGCTGATAGGTATGTGCAGGGGGTTGTTTTCAAGATTTCCTTGTGAGACAGAAGGTCAGGATTCCTGTGGTCTCCTGTCATATTTAATTCATATCCTCTGGCCTTCTTCACCACATTTATTGAATTACAGGAATAAAGTTCAATGAACCAAAAACAAAAGAAGAGAGGACAGGGCAAATCCTGATTTCTTTTACGTCCCTGCCGTACAACTGACTTCAGCGGGCCTGTAAGAGAGCATCTTAAAGCAGAATTTGGAAGGAGGGGAGGTACAAGTCAGTATAACCCCTCTCACCACCCCCATAATTGCATCCAAGTAATTTATTGCAAGGAGCGACTATTTGCATGTGGGAGTAAGGATCCAATTTCTACCAGTCAAGAATCTCCCTGTATACTTTTTAAGGCTAATCTTTGTGTACTCCCTGTGTGTGTTTATCAGATTCCTTCTTGCCACAAATGAGATGGCAGTAGAATGGCTTTTCAAAACCATTCTTCAGAAAAGCATTCCTGGCAATTACATCATATGTGTGCTAAGAGGTAATCCTCAAATATGTTAAAAATACCAGTTTCAGGGAAGTGCCCTATTGGCATGCTTATAATGATGATTCCCTGCAATTACCTTAATTAAGCTGATACAACCTTCATACTCCCTTCACAAGTGAGATGCAATAAGCACAGGTTTTCCAACAGGCCTGCAGTGTGGACTTTACTACTGGAGTAGCTCTAGACATGCTCTGTGATATTGGGGAAGAAGATTTTGTTGTGTCTCCTCCACTCCTATTACCCTATTTTTATTGTCCTGTATGCTGCCTTCAAGAACTGGGCTGTTTCGGGTATAATTGTGGATCACTCAGATTTCTCAGCTACCTTTTCAGTCAAATCTACACATAGTGTCTGCACTGTGGTTTAGACACTCATACAGTTAAAATAGTGCAATCCCCTAGTGTGAGCTGTCATATCAGAACCTCACACAAATAACCTCTACTGGTACCCAATAACATCTTTATAACAGTGTAGTTTGTTTTCAGAGCTAGGTATGCACAAATCTGGTTGTTGAGTCTGACCCAAAATATTAATCAAAAAAAAGAAGACATAAAATGTTTTCAAATTCTATCCAAAACTGCAAGCTCACCAATATTTAGCTTTGGCATTTGAATTTTTGGAAATGTCACAGCTAATAAATAATGTATTATTTTCTGAGCTACAATGTAAATTTTTATTTTAAAATTTGAATCTGCTTAACTTCCAAAAATTAAGTGCTCTGCTCACGTACATGTCAACCTATGGGATGGCTGCCTTTCCACTTAATACATTTAATAAAGGTGACCAGATGCTTTGTGTTTTTAATGGCTTGTTCTGCATCCCAACAAAATGTCCCTGTTTTGGCTGCGATTGCAGATGATTCATTCTGAAACCCAGCCCAGCTGCCCTGACACAGCCGAGGCAGGGCATAGTTAAAAAACAAGCCATCTGTGCAAAAGAAGTGTGCTGGAGGAGTGCTTTGTCAGGAAAAGACTGTCATTTCTTGGCCCCTATGTTTTCTAGGCATCCATAACCCAAAAGTCCCATGGGTCCAACCTCTCTGCCTTTGCAGTTAAATTTTGCAGTTATATACCATGTCCCAAGATATTCTCTTCCTTCCCCCTTACTTAGAAATCCTTCAGCCTGCTCTGCTATATAAGATCGTGTGTAGATCAAATGTTTCTGTAAAATGTAAGACGTTGCTCCCACTTTCATTCTTTCCAATCACATGGCAAAACTCCTGACCCTGTAGCTGCATCAGCGAAGCCTCATGCTAGAAAAAGCAAGAGGGATTCATTTATGGCTTTTCTGAATATTTAGCTCTGCCCAGTTCTGTACTAGCATCACTCTATTGTCAGTGCTGCCAAAAGAGACATCCTGCATTCATGAACAGTCACACCGCTTGCTTGCAGGCTAGCCGAATTCAAGGGCAAAATTCTACCCGCAGGCAAAGCTCCCCATTGCCTCAGCAAGAGGCAGGCATGCATATTTGAAGGCAAAGTCTGGTCTTGAATGTGTCACTGAAATAAGCTACTTCAAGCCTTGAGAGGGTTCTGGCCCCACAGCATCTTTCACATGACCTGCAGGCTGCATCGTGAAGCAGTGCTGACACCTTCTCCCTGCCCAGAGGATGGAGCATACAGCAAGAGCAGCTCAGCAGGACACCACCATTCCAGGGTAGGAAGTAAAGGCTCCTGTCAAGTTTTCTTTACAGCCTATGTTCTCTAGCATTTGAAAGAACCACTGCAACTCAAGTCATCTGGCATGCATACGAATGACAAATATGCTTCAGAGGCAATAAATTAGCAATTTCAAGGCTTTACTTCCCCTCATGGACTAATTGTCAGAGATTATAGTATATTATAAGAGACCAATGATACTAATGTCTAAATATGCTTCAGTGATTACAGAGCTATCCTCAATAACCAAGCTGTTTAAATGTCAATGCAAGAAAGCTCTTTATTATGAGATTAAATATTATTTTGAAGCAATGCAATAGGAACTTCCCAGGCTTCATGCCTGCAATAATACTGTCTTGGAGCAATATATATTGGACAAACTATGCTTTTTTTAAAATGTGTACAGTAAAGGGTCCCAAAGTATTTTTGTGCTGCAAACTTGAACCGCATTCCTTATAAGAAAGAGGATCTTGGTATCTTTTCCCTTTGCATTTGTTACTAACATGCTGCTGCCTTCGTTCTTTCCTCCGCTTTATATTAATACTTGTGTATCACTACTGTATAGAGAAGATAAAGTCTTGTTTTCTGTTAGTGTGAGTGGAGAATCAAACTTCAAAGACTTTTTCTTCTTTTTTTTACATCTCTAAGTACTAGTGTCTTGCACAGATGCTTTTGACAGTCCTACCCCTCACACCTAAATAAATCTGTTTATACCTGTCATTGAGAGAACCCCTGGAAATTAGACAGAAGCCCCAACTTTCAGGTTCAGCTGTTGACATGCAGCAGAGAACAGAAATGTCTTTAAGCCATAACTCCAGTTCCACAGTTTGGGAGATGACAGTTGGTGATCACGAGCTCAGGTGTGGATTTAAAAGGGAGGGAGGCTAAAAAGTCTTTAGCATCCCACTAATCTCCTATAGGACTCCCACACTATGGATCTTGTCACACAGCTGTGCAGCCTTTCCCTATAGATGACAGCAATGTATGTCCCTGCAGAATACCACAACGTTTTTTTCTAGAAAACCCTAAACGCTGCCGTGGGTGCTGATGGTAGGACATGGCTGCTCTGCTGTCCAGATCCAACATGCCATTCCCCTCCCATTGTTTCTAAAGCTACCTGGTATGATGTCCACCATGTTTCATAAATGCAAGTGAAAAGAGCTATAACATGGTCAAAGATCACACCTCATGTTCCCTAGTATTTGAAGATATTTATTCATCTCACTTTGAAGCTGTAACTTAAAACAATAGAGGGTAAAACTCATCTAGGAGGCTGCATATTTTAGTTGGCTGCTAAATGTTAGGGGAAGTTCTAAAAATATTGGGAATGTCTTTGAATCTGAAGCTTGATTTCTAGTAAACTTACTAATTATTACTAATAATTACTATAATAGTATAGGAAACATATAGATAAGCCTATGGGGACAGATCATGTAAATAAAGACACAAATTACAGAAAGACAACTGCTAATGAAGTTGTGGTGGAATTCTCTCTTGAAAATAAATTTTTTTCTTTAGGAAGTATTGTTTCTTAAACATAGCCTGCATCTCTTCCATGGTGCGCTCCTGAAGTAAAGAGGTGCTTCATATATGGATGACCAGGGAATTTACTAGCAAGACTTCCATTATGCCCAGCTGTAGCAGGACTGGACACCTGGATCCATGTCCTAATACTTTCTGCTGCAACCTGACAATTGTTAATTCTGAATTTTTGTTGTTTCATCTTGGCTGATTTCTTCAGCCATTTTATATCTCATCTATAAAACGTAACACTTGTTTACCTCAGAATGTCTGAAGCTCTTTCTGATGCTCAGGTAAAAGACACCTGCCATATATGCTCAGAAAAGACATAAATTGCTCTATCATTTGTAACATTCTAAAAGATCTTCATCTATTAATATCACAGTATGACTGACAAGGAACATGCTGAAAGGCCATGAGAATTCTTTTTCTGCTCTTCCAGGCAGACAATAATCTGACATCTTTTTTGTGATGTCTTGACTTAGAATATACGATGGGAAACCATTTCTTTATCCTTGTAACAGTAATAAATTTAGAATACTGATGTTAAGTAAATAACCATAAGTAATAAGTTGACACTGATCAAACGAGAATTATGTGGACTTATAATAGAATGAGGAAAATTTACCTGCATTTGGCCACTTTTATGCAAATATTATTTGAAATCAGACTAAAATGCTCTTTAATTTTTTGCAAGCACCTTATGAAATGCCCCATTATTCCCAGCTGTCACTTACCATATATCCTGGTGCACACATACACTTTCCTGTGATGCTGTCACAATCTGCACCGTTCTGGCAAGGGCAGGTCAGCTGGCAGCCTTCGCCGTAGTATCCAGGGGGACAGGTTTCATTGCAGTACAGTCCAGCCCAGCCAGCTTTGCAGCTACATTCTCCAGACAATGGATGGCAACTAATGAAGACAGGCAGACATTAATGAGATGTGCACATGAAAGAAAAATACAGTCTGTAACCACCCGTAGAACACTTTACATGCAATGCCAGCAAGTCACGCTAAGAACAGAACAAACGTGAACACTTATAAGGATGGTGAACATAAGCAGCCACATAACTTAGGAAGTGAATAGGGAATATGGTGCTAAATACCAGCCCAGAACGCCACTTCTAAACATCTGGGAACTGCCACAGCACTGGTAATTGTACACCTTTAAAGTGCATGCTTTTCCATTCTCAAATCAATGTGACTTGGATTACTGACTTTAACCACAACACTATTAATCCATCTTGTTGTATGACATACATGTGCCATACTATTTAGTATAATACAGTCAAAGGTGTTCAGGGTTAGGAGAAATTCCAAAGGATAGAGGAATGCAACCAAGAGAGTTGTGAAGATAAACCCGAGTCCTGTGGCACAATATTCTTCTATTCTATTCTATTCTATTCTATTCTATTCTATTCTATTCTAATTTGTGTATTAAAAGTGAGTGCCACCTCAGCAGAACTTTTCAGTAGGGAGAGGTAGAAAGGAAAGTGCTTTGGAAGGGAAAAATCTTGGAAAAAGTTTTGCAGGGAATACTCAGCCATAGTGAACAGAACTGATCACTACCTGAAGCCTTGGGATTTCTGGGGGGCAGGAGTCAACAGAAGCCCTGGGACTAAATCTCAGCTGTGCAGGGAAACAAGTCAAGTTCCTTTATGCTGAATAATGAGCATTGCTGCCCAACATTAATCCTCTGGTTTTCATTTCTATTCAGACAATTCCACACTGTTGTGAGAGCACATAGAGAGAAAAGTAGAAAGGAGAATCAAGCTCCATAAGACCAGACAACGCCTGGTCCTTCTGCATCTGGTAGGTGGAAGACTTACCCCTTTGTTCCTCCTGCTATGAAACATTTTATCTTTATTCACCATTTTCTCTTCTACAAACAGAAAGAGCATCTCCCAATTTTTCTTAGGGCACTAACTTCCCACAGCAGGAGAGCCATGCTGAGGCTGTGGCTGAGGGCTAGGAAAGGAGGGGAAGGCTGGAGATGTGGTAAGTCCTGGTTTGAAGAGATGGAGGTTTCTGGGGGATGGGAAGGGAGAGCACAGGGGGATGTCTAGTTTGAGGAGATGAGGTGATCAAAAGAAAGAGCAGGGGATGGAGAGGGAATCTGATCTTTGGAAAAGGACCCCATGTTGTCTGAGGCCAGCTGGGAATATAGAGCTCAGTGTGCTCTGGGAGCCTCTGAGAAAATGAGAAATAATATTGCTACAAATCAGAATTTCTTTATTATTCTCAGAACAAGAAAGAATCGAGTTCTGCAAGGTGGCACCTCTCTGTGGACCTGTCTGCTGGATTTTTGCATCATAGAAACTATTTATTTTCCTTTACGATTATTTATTGCTACAGTGTAATATTGCAGACATGACTGAATGGGTTTCTTTACAGCTATAAAATTAATATCGTATATGTTAATTTTCAAGGTAACCTCATAAAATGTAATTTCCAAGTATGTTTCTGGCAATTACTGGTAGGAGAGGTTAGTCATATACTGTTGTGACTAAGAATGATCAAATTTTGTGTGTGTCATATGTTTCATCATAAATAGTGTTTTACTGACTAATTAAAACAATTAATCAGCTTAACAAAGTACCATCCATGAAATTCTTCTGACAAAGCAGTCCCTGAAATTATGGTTGTTCACAAAGCACCTCTTAACATTCAGATGAAAATAATAAAAGCTCGTTTTTTCCTCCTCTGTGTCTATTAATCATTACCTAATAGGAGAAGAAAGCTAAACATTAAAGAAATATTTTAAAGTGGATTTTTTGTTTCTCCGTTTTCACTGCTACTGCACATATCATACGGTTCCATGAGAACTGCAGCTGTTGACTAAATTAAATCTTTCAAAGGTAATAAATGATCATGGCAGTTTGAATCAGTCTATGACAATTCAATTGAAAATACTATACTCAGTAAGAATTTCTACTCCAAGGTTGGCTCCTTCATCAAAATGAAAAGCTTTTTTGCATGGAATGCAAGCTATATATTGAGGACTAAATATCATCCTAACATGCACTAAAATAAGAAGCAAAAACCAAACAGGCTTTGCAGAAGAGTCTGCAGGAGACAGAGGGCTTGGACTCCAAAACAAGGTCAAGTAGAAGGTTGAGACCATATTCTGCCCTCCCAAAGCCTTGTCCACTCTTTCATGAGGCTATGAGCCAGGAAAAGTCCAATGCAGATGTTTGGGTCCCTGCATCCATATAATCTTCCTGTTGAAGCAAGAACACTTCTGTTATCAGCCTAAGCATATCAGAGTTTTGTCTTTCTCCTAGGCCAAGCACTTGTAGTCTCTCAGTGCTTTGAAATACTTATCTTTTGCTGCCTTACAGAATGCTAGCATTGTAGGATTAGGAAAAATCCTCCACATTAGATTCCAGAGTTATGGTACCCATAACAATAGTTCTGGGTAGGTAGCAACAGTTGGTGAATAGACCATACAGCAGGGGAAGAGAAACTTCTCCTTGACAGTAGTAGAATAAATCTTTCCAAAGCTTTTGGCAAAAGCCAAACATTAACACACCCCATAGTGTTATGGTAGCATAACAAGCAAAAGGACTTCAAACCTACATAGCTAGGTCTGAAATGAGGTTGCAGGCTGTGTCTGGCCAGGGGAGACAGGAGACTTGTCTCAGATACAGAGAATACAAGGCCCCGAATCAAAATCACTTGTTTGACAATTAAGGTGTCCTGATGCCGTGTTAGCTTGAAGATGGCTGAGCTTTAGATGCTTAACCAAAATTCAGAAGACAGCTGTTCTCTTCCCAGTCCTGCCAGTGAATCTTGGCCATGTAAGTTCCTCTTTCTGCCTTCATTTTTCCCATTTGTAAAATGATGCCTTTCTTCCTTTGGAAACCCTTTTAAGATCTGCAGCTGATATCACTAAATAGTACTAAGTTTTTATTATTAATTGTTCTATTCTGGTATGTATGAACCAGTAATTAAAGTCATCAGAGTTACATACTAAATATATTGCAGCTCATAATGTAGAAATAGTATAGGTATGCATGTATGTGTGAGTTAAGAATGTTTCTCTCATATTGGCATTCTGTAAAATTTCATTCTGTTCAGACTATGTACCTAGAAATATAACAATAGCTAGGAAATTCATCTATCGTCCATCCAACCGTCTATGCATCCAGACTGTCCAGTGAACTAAATGCTACCTGCAATGAAGTTGAAAAGTTTGAGGCACTTAATGGCAAAGGTGTTAGGGCAAAGAATAGGAAATACAGCTAGCAATATCAATTATTTGTATAATTCCTCCCTTCCTGTTCTGAATGTACCTTTCAAGGTCATGAGTCCATATAACATTTTGCCAGCACAGGTTACAGCATATGTAAGGCACTTCTCCATGCCACTAATAAACTGAAATTAAGAAACACAAACAATTCTACTAGAGAAGGATCACTGAATGGATGGGTAAGAGAATGTGAGGCCTCCAAAAAGATCCCAGAAGGCAAACCCACTAATATCTGCTTTCTAACCACTTGTTGTGAGCAGGAAGGGAACCTTAGGCTCTTGAAAGAGTTTGGCAGTGTTATACATTAGTATTTTGCATTGAATCTTAACAACTTTTATTTCTTCAAATCTCCTGCATAACAGGAAGGAATAGTATAGAAAACTTAGAGCAAATGCAAGCAGACAAGCGTTCCTCTAGCTCTAGGCCAAGTAGAGGTGGAAACTGGAAGCTGTCCACAGTGCACAACATGGCATGAGAAGGAAATTGTTCCATGGCTCTTGCTGCAGTTTGGAAGCTACTGTACGGTCCCTGGCTTTTGAGCCACTTTTACAGCAATAAAAGATTTATTTTTTAAAATTTACTGGCTGAACTGAAAAACAGAAAGTCATTTTTGACCTTTAAATTGTTTAAGCATCTGATTTCGAGGAAAACTGAGGAAACCAGGTAACTTTTTTGAGGCAAACTGGGAAAAGAAATGTTTTAGACAGCACAGCTGTACCAAATTCTGAATTTGTTCTCCACACAACTTTCAGCCAAAACAACTTCTTCCCAGTGAATTGCCTGACTTTCTGTTTATACACCAGTCATCTCATCTTAATTAACAACAGCCCTAATCCTTATTTAACAGTATTTTCTGTCTTTTGGTGTCCATACTACATTCAGTCTCCCTTACTAAAATGTCCTCTTGCTTTTAAAGAAGTAGCCACAATGGGATTTTATGGCCACTACTTCAGTCCAGCAAGTCTTCAAAGACAGCATCATTCAAGCACATTATTGACTTAGGTCAAGGGAAAACTTCATGCAAGATCCATGGGGTTTGGTCCTTCCGAACTTTTCAGTGTTGAGGCAATAATCAGAGTCTCTGGAGATCTATCCATTTCATTTGACTTTGTCACAGTAGGAAAGTGTCAAGGCTGAACAGGTCACTGTGTCTTCCTTCCGTTCTCACGTCTCTGACCTGGGAAAGACATTACTAAAGGCATATGGCTCCACACACTGGCTCCACACCAGTGTTCAAGAAGGGTGGGTGGCTGAGCCTATTCCAGCTATTCATTCCCCTCTCTGCTTTTCAGAAGAGCAAGCCAGGATTATGCCTGTCTGACTATTGTAGACTGTCTCAACATGGGCTTTTTGCATAAGGGACAATTTTACAGGTGTATCCTTTCCTGTGGAAGGACAGTCCAAGTCACCAATGCATTCTAAATTACCTAATTCTGGGGTTGTTCAAAAGTCCTGTACAAAGTGCCTTTCAGCGTGCTTTGATGCAGAAATTATTGGATGATGTTCTTCAGCCATTACTATGCAGGTTAGACTAGATGATCATGCTGGTCTCTTCAGACATTAAAATAGATAGATCTATGAAAATAGAAAAGCTGATTGTGTATTTCTTAATGTTCCTCCCCAACCTGCTCCTCAAAGCTCCCAGAACTTTCTGTTCCAGCCAGCTCTCCAATAACCAGATCAAATGAGTCAAAACCACTGACAGAAATAAGCAAGCTTCCCTCACCTTCTTTCAAGTGTTTATATAATTACCCTACACACTCAGGTATTGCAACAAGTAGCCAAGAGTTTAAACTGCTTCTGGGGAAAAGAGATGGCTGTCAGTAAATGAATCACTTTGGAAGACCACAGTTCCAGTAATGATAAAAATTCAGGGGAGGAATAGGAGGAGGTGGCTGGGAAGAGAAGTGCACTGTATGGGACTGGTTAAACAATCAGTAAAAAGATTTGTTCAGAATATGGAGTGCCTTTGGAGAAGGTCATTTTCCATCAACTCTGACACTCCTCAGCTCAGAAACTGACAGCACTCCGAGGAGCTCATTGAAAAGTGGAAAGCTGAAATACCATGGATGAATGAAAGAACATTTACAGATCTACAGCTTGCTGATATCTCTTTGTTCCATAACAGCAGTGATAAGATGTAGGAAAAAGGGAGATTTTATCAATGGAGAGACTAGACTCATTTATTAAGGAAGTGGAGATACCATCTTAGCAGAGGATGCTGCAAGTGAAGCTGACGGAGCAGCGATGGGAGGGAAGGCACAAAATGTATCCATCAGACAGCAACCAGGCACAGGTCAGGTACACAGTCGGTAACAACAACCACATGCCCAGAAAAAGCTGTGAGAGGATGATCATATCCTCTTTCTGAGCTCTCTCAAACTTGAGACCTCATCTTTCTTCAGAGCTGGATGGTGGTAGTCTGTTCTTTCAGGAAGGATCTTCTGCCAAACCCCCAGAGCACCTCCCAGGTAGTTCTTTGAGTAACCCACGATGAACTCTTGCACCCTCAAACTCACAGTCGTCCCCCAGTTAAAAGACTCTTAATGAACCGAGCACTTAGCTGAGAAACAGCAGCCAAGCTTGGCCTTGCCCGTGGCTTGCAGTCCTTCCACTCTATTTACACCTTTACGGGAAAATGGGCACACAAACAGGTTTCTGCAGGCTAGGAGAGGGGGTGAAGACACTGTGTCAGCTACTGTCCAAGAGCATATGCTCACCCTCCAGTACACATGAAGAACAGCTTTCACTGAGGAGCAGTGTACCTTGTATTTACCGCATGTTTAAGTCGTGTACGCTGGCAGGTACTGCAGAGTAGTATGACATGCAGGAATTTATACCTTAGCTCACTCTGCAGTAATTCTTGAGACGTCCCCTATCCTCAGTACAACACAACATTAACCTTTTGTGTATAATGCTCAGCTCATGCCTTAGGGATGTTATTTTTCGCAATGATTTTATGATACACAAAATAATCAGAAATGATAGAAGCCTGTTGTACAGAGCTGCCTTTGAGGTGTCGAACACTTTGGATCCTCGCTGTCAAACCCAACAGAGCTAGAACTATCTTTCTGTAGAGGACTCGTATCATCAGAATTACAAGGCTTTTAAATAATCCATTGTGAGCTCTGACTTTCAGTTAAGCAAAGCTTCACCACTCACAGCTGAACTTGAATTCACAAGAAAGATCACCTGTTTATTTCCAAGACTGAGACAAATAGAGTCTATCATCTCAAGCACACAAACAGATTTGCCTGAAGTGTTTGTGTGTGTGTGTGTGTGCGCACGCATGTGTGCACGCACACAAATTAGGTGGTGTTGCTTGCATACATAATTGAGGAGAGTGTTTATATTTTAGCAGGCTGCAAGATTGCAAGCTAGGTTTGTCATCATCAGCAAGACAGTCAGGTCCCTACCTGTCTGGTTTAAAATTGAAGAATGTCCGTATCAAGGGCATATTTGCTTGGGCATCAATTATCCCCACCTCCCTCTGAAGCCTACACAATCCTGAATTGGCTATGAATGCTTAACAGTAATGGACAGAAAAAGGAGGAAAACAAGTGGGAGCTGAGGGGCTCAGCATCTTGCAGACATGGTAAGGAAATGTGGGCACTCTAGTCCATCAGAATAGCTGAGGCCAAGGTGTTTTCGCTGACCAGGCTCCCTTTACTGTATGTGAGGGAGTGAGGAACATCCAAATAGCAATTCTTGCAGTCAGTAAACAAGGCAAGGAGTTGCAAAAGGTAACAAATAGGATAATAGGGAAGAGTCTTTAATTCTTCCTTTTTTCAGAGTCCAGAAAATTTATTCAAGCCTGCAATGGGAAAGCAAATTCAACCTATCCCATGTTAGCTGCTCAAGTCTGTTTGTGGCTCTAACTCTTAGTAATGAGAACCTCAAGAATCAGATCCTAAAAAAAAGCAAAAGGGAATAAAACATTGAAACCTGACCTTTTAAGTGAGGCTTATTCCATTTTAGGTATACTTCCCTGATGTTTATTTTCCTGAATATTTCACACATACACATACAGAATGAAGAGCAAAAATAGGCACACAAGAGAAGAGATGTCTATTTTGACAATGTCGACTCTGTAACAGTTCCATAGACTGACTTGGGGATATTGATTTCAGTCTATTTATACATCTGCCTCAAGTGTTTTCAACAAGGTAATTTGCCATGAGACATAAACTGAAGCAAATTAGGTTTCATTTTGAAAGTCCCCTTGCTGTCTATAGATTTAACAAGAAAACCCATGCAATAAAAAGAGCCAAAATGATGGATTTGAGTAAATATACCTATATTTTTTAAACTTCAGTGTGTTATTATATATACATATGGGCATCATATGATAGTTCTTATACCTAAAAGACTGCAGTTACAGGATAAGGCCATATGTCAGATTGTTTCAGATTTTAGAGAAACTAGTTAAGTACTTAACAGATACATGCTTAGTAGCTGGCTGGACTGAGGCTTATGGTTCCAAACCTGAGGTCATTTAAATCAAAGATTGCAATCCAGAGGAACTGTCTGTGTTCTTAATTAAAACTACAGAGAAAAAGGTGGTAGGTGTAGTTAATCCAATTTTTTCCCAATGCTTTTATTTGACCAGTCCCCGCACTAGTATATAATATGATGTACATACCTGAGAGTGTTGGTAATATTGCAAGGACACCTCTTGTTGCATTTGAGGCCATAAACCCCTTCTGGACACATTCTTTCTTGGCAATAAATCCCTTTAAATCCAGGGTCACACATACACGCTCCATTTACATGATAACACTTTGCACCATTTTGGCAGTCACATCTTTGTGTGCACTGAAAGCCATATGTCCCAATAGGACACTCTTCCTGACACCTGTAATGAAATATGTGAGACAGGATCCAATCAAATACTATAGTCTGGTCTGCTTATGACTTTTACATGGGAATGTTTTTGTTAATGAAATAAGTTTAAAACTATTGCTCATTTATTTATGTAATATACAGTGAACTGATGGTATCACTGAGTGATGTGATATCTTGGGCATGTAAATTGCTGTTGACTGAAAGTGCATTAATCTCTGTCCAATTATATCCTGCAAAATTTGCATTAGTTAGTATTACCTTAGTTAACAAAGTGCATTCTTGTTTCCTGGACCTTGACAATTCCATTCATCAACCATGAGAAACTGATATAGAGTAAGATACTTTATAGAAAACCCCTCATCTGTTTGCTTTCTCTTTATTACAGAAGGATTGAGCACCTTCTTTAAAAGCATATGGTCCTCTTAGTGATAATGAGGATTGAAAGGTCTATTAAACAATATTGAGTAAAGTGTTCTCTAGCAACGTATAGTTTTACTTTGCCTCTATGCTGTCATTGCACCAGCTTTATACCAACTAGGAGAAAATATACTCCTTTGTCTTTTGTGTGTGTGTTCACAGTAACTAAAGCTCAAATTTGCTTTTCATCTCTTACTCCAGGGATGCTCAGTAGTATAAAATCTCAAGACAAATCACTTTCACGCTCCTTAGTGTAGTATCTTCTCCAAAATTGCCAACATTTTTAATATTTGCTACACATAAAAAGGGAACCGGCAAACACTATACACAGATTGTTTTAAATTGCACCTTCCATGCACTCTTTAAAATATTTCCCTACTGGATACATTATGAAATCTGCCGAAAAGTCTGTTTCATTGTCCTACACAACCAGTTTAAGTATTCATAATATTTCCTACTTTGAAAAGCTCAACTAAGGTCCTAAAGAAAGCAATTGATTCTGTGCTTGACATGACAAAACTTAGTGGTTTCAAAATTCTGCAGTGAGTCAGTACTACAGTTTACATGATCCACCGTGAAATATAGGTATGCTTTTTCAGTTAATAAAAAAAAGAAAAAGAAGTCCAGAAAAGCCCAATTCCCTTATCACATGGATGCCAGATATTGGAAATTGCCTATCAGCATTAATTTAATCCTGAGCATTGATTAAAGTGTATACTGTAAACTCAGTGGATAGAGGCAATTGTTAAATGTCTTTCTGCAGGTCATTTCACAGCTGGCAGGTGAGAGTTAATATAATGATCAGTAATAAAAGATTAATGTGTGATGCAAGCCAGGCAAAACTGCAATGAACACAGCCAGTATATAAGAAGAGCATTACTTTTGCAGCTTCAGACTATCATGTTTTACTAAAAATAAATGAACAAAGCAAAATGCCTAGCTAGTGATTTAACTGGAGCAAGCATCAACACAGTTGCTAGTTACACAATCCAAGTTCAGGAGTTCATACGAGACCCAAAGAGAGAGGAGCCTGTGACAAACAGGAAGGGAAAAAGCCCAGAGAATCACCAGCGGTACTGGCTGCTAGCCCTGCTGCTCTCAGAGTAGTTCAGCTGCAAAGGAAATATCCAGCAAAGAATGGGTAACATTAGGACAGAAACACTTAAAGCAAATGAAATGCAATGAAGAACGTATTAAGATGCCTTATGTCTCCATTGCTGTATACAGCCCTACTAGTTAGCAGGAGAGCACTGTACTCAACAAGATGAATACTTAGTCAATAGTGCACTATATCATTTTATATTTATAGAAGATGAAGCATTACCTAGCAGGGAGAAAAGCATCTGGAAATGAAATATTGACAACCTAATCCATTTACATAATTAGCCTTTTTCTACTAACAATTTAATCAACTTATTTATTTGGAGATCAAGCAGCTACCGCTAATGAATTTTATACAAAGAATACTAATAATGACTCCTCTGGAACATAAGAATAATCACAGCAGGAATTAGCTTTCTACTTAAACATCTTTCCTTTGCAACATATCAATCTAATGTGTCCATAGCACCATTAACAACCAGATACATTGTTCAATTAAATTACAAAATGAGCTGCTAAGCTCTAGTTATGTTTCTTGTTTAATTTACATTGCTTTCTGCCTATCTGGGGAGATTCGTATTATAATATCCACTGAACTTTAATATGTACTATAATTATTTGGGTTGGGATAGGATAATATGGCTGTCACCTGTAGAATTAATGGAAGCAATTTCACAAAATATTAAACATAAGACAGCCTGCTTAACAGATGAACTTAGTACATACACCTACATCTTTTCCAGATAATTTTTTTTCATGGAACAATGCTGTAAAGTTTTTTAGGCTTTTCTGTTTGTTGTTTTGCAACAGTTATCACATTTATGTAGCACAGACAAATATTAAAAGCCATCCAAAATACGCAAACCTGGAGATTGCCATTCAGTCGATAAAAGATACAGGTACAAACACAACAACAAGAGAATAAGCCTGTTCATATTGTTATAACCAATGTGGTATTTATTTTGTTAAGATTCTATCTTTAGGTTTAATGGCAATACGGAAAACAAAGCTAAAACAGTATGTTCACTTTTCCTGGCAGCCACTGAATTCTTAGACAGCCCCATCCTCAGCTTCTAACTGTGCTTCTGCTATTATTCCTTTCCAGTTCACAAAACATACATTTACATGACATATCCAGTCATTTTAGCAGAGCACAAAGCTTCCTGGAGTTGTTAATATTGCTTGCCAATTTCCTAGATATTTAGTGCAGTGCCAGTTCCTGGAAAACAGGTAGGGAACAAAGTGTGGCAATTACACTTACATAGACCTTTATGACCATTTCATCTCCACAGCTATTTATCTAACTCTATGTTATTATCTTCTGCACAAGATGATGAACTGTAGTATTATATAGTACTTACTGACAATTAAAAAATGTTATAGTAGATAAAGTGTGTTTATGTTTTTATTCTTGTTATTCACAATATCTGTTATTATTAAGAATATTTTTTCGGTGCCTTGTAAAATTTTAAGAAAACATTATTTTGTGCAGCAGCATTATCCTGCTATATTTGCAATTATACTGTAATGCTGCAGCCGTTGCGTGAATCCAGAAAGTAAAATAGAGTTTAAGCTAAAATGGTGCTGACTAATCTGTCCCATTGTCCATGCTGTATGAACACATAACTAAGGAAAGCAATTTAGACTTTTTAAAGACCTTGTGCCTGCTCCTGCCATCACTGAAATCAAGGGGCAATCTACCATTAGCTAACTGTAGTTAACAGCAAGGTAAGGGTATGCATGCCTGTTCAGAACAAACCATTACAGACAACGTGCTGTCCTAGCCCAAGTGAGAGGCAGAACTCCAACTGAATATAATGGGTCTAAGGCTTCACTTCCCTTACTGAAGGCTGATTAAAGGCTGATAGATAAACATGTTTTAACCTTCTGAGAACCTGTTTGAAAGGTGGGAATTTCTAGGCTAATACAGTTTTTCCCTGCTGCTAGAAAAGCTTTCTGAACTGCACATTTACCTAACTTTCTCCTGTTCTCATCCATCCTTCCACATGCCTGCATTTCTGCTCTTCTGCCTCTCCCTTCAGTGTCTATCTGTTTCTTCTCTGCTCCAGGAGGGGGCAAGTGAGCCATTCCTAAGGGTTTTGCTTGGGTGCAGGTCCACAATGTGACCTTCCCTCTGCTTCTTTTCACAGAATCATAGAACAGTTTGGGTTGGAAGGAACCTTTAACGGTCATTCAGTTCCAACCCCCCTGCCATGGGCAGGGACACCTTCCACTAGACCAGGTTGCTCAAAGTCCCCTCCAACCTGGCCTTGAACGTTTCCAGGGATGGGGCATCCACAACCTTACTGGGCAACCTGTTCCAGCACCTTACCCCCTCACAGTGAAGAATTCTTTCCTAAATATCTGATCTAAATCTACCCTCTTTCCATTTAAAAATGTTACCCCTCATCCTATCACTACACTCCCTGTTAAAGAGTCCCTCCCCAGCTTTCCTGTAGGCCCCCTTTAAGTACTGGCAGGCTGCTATAAGGTCTCCCCAGAGCCTTCTCTTCTCCAGGCTAAACAGCCCCAATTCTCTCAGCCTGTCCTCACAGGGGAGGTGCTCCAGCCCATTGACCATCTTCATGGCCCTCCCATGGACCTGCTTGAGCAGGTCCATGTCTTTCTTATGTTGGGGGCCCCAGAGCTGAACGCAGTACTGCAGGTAGGGTCTCACCAGAGTGGAGTAGAGGGGCAGAATCACCTCCCCTGACCTGCTGGTCATGCTTCTTTTGATGCAGCCCAGAATGCGACTGGCTTTCTGGGCTGCAAGCGCACATTGCTGGCTCATATTCAGTTTTTCATTCACTAATACCTCCAAGTCCTTCTCCACAAGGCTGCTCTCAATAATTTTACACCTCTTCCAACTGATCACGCCTTATTTTCTCCCTCCCTGCTTCTGTCTTCTCAAGCAACATCTCTCTTCGGAGTCGAAATCTCTCTCACTTTTCTCCAAGCACAGATCTGAAAAGCCCACGCTCCCTTTGCTCAAGGACAAATTCTTGTGAACTCCTGTCAGGTCTGCCCTGTAGTGCCTCCTCTGCCCAGTTTCTCCCCGAGCTGCCTTCTCCAGCCTCTCTCTAAGGGCCATCAGCAGCAAAACTCTCCGCTTTTGACAGCGGGCAGAACTAGGTCTTCTGCTTTGTACTTGCCATCTCTTTTCCTCATCCCCAACAGTCCTTTCTCTACTCTTGCTGCTGGAGTGTGTAAGTGTTGCCATTCAGCAGCTCCATTACCGCCCTTTCCCTGTGCCACACGCAGCTCTTCTACTGCATGTCCTCCCTTGTGGCTGGGGCCTATATTGGAAGTTGAGCAAAGAAGCTGGCTCAGCTACAGTCTGCTGGCTGTGAGCTCCCAACAGCTCCGAGACTGTTGATTCACCTACAGTCAGAAATCAATGTAAGTCTGCAACAACCAAATGAAGAGATCTAGAGACAGAGGGTCTCTGTCAGCCTTCCTCAGCATGGCCAGCACTGGGGACAGCTTGGGATTGAAGTGTGGTCACCAGTGTAAGTGTCCAGGCTGCACAGTTGCTTCCTTAAGTGAAATTGTCCCCAAAAGGAGAGAAAGAGAAAGCTTTGGTTAGCAACAGTAATTATATGGTACCCTATGATTGAAATCACTGTCTCCAGATGGAGGATGGGGGAAGAGAGACACACTGATGCCTTCTTCACTAAATTAATTTGAAATAATTAGTATTTCCACCATATTCAATCACATGCAAATCCTGACATAATCTCCAGAGCCCCCTCAATTACCACTGTTGATAAAATGGAAACAAGGAACTTCCACATTTAATGGGAAAGAGCATAGCCTTCTGAACCCCAGTACAGTGTTGACAGTTGGCCTGTTTGCATGCTATAAAGACCTGCTGATTATACAATGAAGCAAGAAATGAGAAATTCCAGTGAGCTTTCCTGCCTAAAAGTATAATTGTAGCATATGTCTCTATACTGATACTAGCTTGTTCTAGCTAATAAAAAAGGGAAGATATAGGAGAAAGGGCTTTAGCATAGCATACACTAGTGAGCTGTGCCCACGGTCTCTGGACACCCTGGTGACACAGTCCAACCCCTAGTAAAAACTGCATATGAAAGCTTTTTTAACTGCAGCTTCCCCACCATGTTGGCCATGCTGGCAGGATTAGCTGGAGGGCCAGCATGTGTTACAATCCCACCTTGACTTTGCTGTGTAGTCATTTTGTTGAATCCATGACACTTTTGTAAAACAATATTATCATCTTCTCTGATCGATTTATGGGTGAAGGCCCTCGTTTATAAATTTTGAGGATTTATCACCCTTTGTTGGTGTCTGAGATGGATCGGTGCTGCAGCAGCACAGAGGGGCTGAAGGAAACATTAAACTGCTGCATTGCTTACTCTTGAGGATATTAATTTGTGTAAATATAGTTCATTTACATATCTTGTAAACATGTAATGCTCTCTATTAAATTTATCACTGTAAATATCTAAATTAAATTTAATCCATTAAATTTTAAAAGTTGTATTAAAAAATCTCTGTAAATTGAGAGCATTGCCAATAAAAAGTAATAACATCGCCACATTTATAATGCTTGAACTGCTTCAGAAGGATGAACCTAATTGGAGCAACAGAAACATAACACCATTTTTCAGAGAGTAAGATTGTCCTAGAAGGGATATAAATATTGCCAATCCATGGCTAAAACTGAAGGCTTTGGGGTTTTGATTTTTACCTGTCTCCTATATAGCCAGCTGTACAGATGCATTTTCCTGTCACGGGATCACAGTGTCCTCCATTGTGGCATGGACAGTCCTGGCTGCAGTTAATTCCAAATGTTCCAGGAGGACATGGCTGTGCACACACCAGCCCCTAGTAAGGTTGCAGAAAGAGCAATATTTCAGTCAACATTCATAATGCAATAAATTTCTATATGCAGCTTGGATTTTTATTGTCCTTCTCGCTAAAACTAGATCTAAGTGTAGTGGCAATATTTTTTCTGTTTAAGATGGGCTAAAGATAGTCTCAAAATTCTGCTACCAGAATAAATGCCTGTCTACCCTATCTCCAGAAGGGATTTTTCCCACCACTGTACAGTCACTGATAATTCTCTTCTTTGTATCTCCCCTGTAAACTGCAGCTGGGGTGGCAGGATACTCACTGCCCCTTGAATAGATGCAGGAAGGCTTGGGAGATGTTAAAGGCAACCAGAGAAGACTACAAAGCTGCATATGTGCTGGTGGTTTTTTTTGTGAAATAGAGTCTGAAAAGTTGTTAGACCTACGCTGGGCAAGTGTCACAAAGTGAACATTTGGGAAAAGAAGGATTGTTGGAAAGGCTGCACTGGGAGGATGAAGTTCTGCTAGTTGTGATATTCTATGATGTTGTCCCCTGTTCAGACAGCCCCACTTCATCCAATCACAAAGAAGACCAAATACAACTGCTGGAGAAGTCCTCTACTACTCTTCAGAACCTACCTACCTTCATTCCCTCTACTCTCTTCCAGCCTCCACACTCATCTCTTCAAGCAGCACAGAATGGCATCTGCCAGTGCTTTGTCTAAGCCACGGAGGAGGCAGGATGGGAACAACAGACTGGGATGGTTGCAGAAAGCCACCAGTGATGACATAGAAGCAATTTGACTCTCCAGATCAGCAGTGCAGCAGCCTTTTGGCCAGAGGAAGTGATTTTGCAGTGCAATATCTGGCTAATCCCTGAACACTGGCTGGATGCATCATCCAACATCCTCCCAGCTCCCTATCCCCAACCTTAGAGCCATATCTCAGGCCCTGACTTGCCTCAACAACACATCTTGGTGGCTACCTCCTTCCTCCGCTTTATGCTGCCAGCCCTCTGCTCTCCTGCCTCTTTATTCCAGTCTGCCCCAAATCCTTGTTGCAGACTCCTTTTTAGTCCTCTTCTTCATCTGGACCCAAATCCCCATCTTTGAGTTGTTTCCTCCTTCCCCTCCCTGCTTAACCACCCCTGAAAGTGAAGAAAAGACAGACTCTCATTCTTGGTTGTGCACTCTCACGCTGCTCATAAGGAAAAGCAATTGCTGGGCAAACCTTGTTCCAGCTTTTCAGCCCCAAGGCAGAGAATGCTTACCATGGGTTGTGTCTTTGGAGAATTTATCTGCCAAACTCAGGTGGGTTTCCCCCAAGTATCACATCATGTCCCCTGCTAAGTATCAAGGCCTTACAAGGATTTCCCTAGACTTTCTTAGAAGTTGTATGCATGTTTCTTTATGTGAGCAAACATAAATTCTGAGGCTGGCATCCGGCTGAGTAACTTCAGCCAAAACAAGTCTGGCAGTGCTGTGATCTGAAGATGGGGTCCTATAATGGAAAATGTTTGGCAACTGTAGCAAGTGGTGCTGCTGCCAGTGCCCTGCACAGTGCACAGTGTTTGATAGAAACAGTGTTTTTCTGTCCCTATTATTATTTCCTTCTAATCTCTCAGAAGTCTTATTTCCCTAACCAAGCCCCAGGGGCTCTGAGTTTTGAACAAGGCACATATTAGACACAACTTATACAAAACATAAAACAGGAACATAACGGCTGCTTTCACTCCTTGGGGTCCTCGCTCAACAGTTTGGGAAGTTTAGCAATATCAACAACCCCAAAGTGGAGAGGCTGCTCTTCAATGTAATTATAAAACAGACACTTCAAGCCTTTCCCAAACAGTGATACGTGGTTCCTTGCCTGTAAAATAGACAGGTTGGCCTCAGTTCAAGAACTTTCAGATTACAGTGTTTAAAAAATGGTGTCTCTGGACTTGAGTAATACACAACACTACATATCTGAAAACGTAAGTATCCATTTGTCTTGATAATAAATACTTTCTCTCTTCACATCTCAAAAGGAACAGGATTTCTATCAACAAATGATGAGAAAGCAATACTCTGTGATGCATCCCCCCGGAGCCAAGAGAATCTTTAGGCATACTTTTTGCATTAATATGTGCTAAGGGAATCCAAAACATCCTTCTCTGGAGGCTCAAATGTCAGACCAACGTTTCCTGCTGCTTATACATCTGATCAGTAAAGTTCACCCCATCAGCATGTTTTTTAAGGCCCCGATCTCATCAGCTTCTGCTTTGGACATTGTGTGATATATTATTACCATTTTGTAGTAAAGAAAAGATTTTTTTCTGCTCCATTTTCTCTCACACCCCATGTTTAAAATCCACAACATAAAGAAAAATAGACAAAAATACAAATTACAGTTGCTTCATAAAGCCCAGAGGCAATGAGAAAAAAGTGATTAGCAGAATGTGTTGTATTAACATGGCACCATGATGCAGAACCTTGAGAATGGGATCTGGGACCAAAAAGGGTGTGCTGCCAGGGACAAATGTTCTGTCATGTGAGGAAAGATTGCTGCTTCCCTGAGCATGGAGATCTAGTCCTTCAAAAGTGTTTCTGAGAAGCATTGTAAATGCTAAATTTAACTTCTCTCCCTACTTCCTGAGAGTGCTTGGAGAATTTAATACTGCAAATGAGAAAGATGTATAGAATTAAACCTGTAAATTGTTAATCAGGCCCTAAAGCAGCCACCCACTAACTCCCACAGCCACAAAGACACAGAAGTGGAAAAAGCCCAACATCGTAGTATGCTGGAAGCCACATTTTGTTGACTAGTTCAAGAGTATATGCTGTTAGCTATCATCCTCTTGGTGAAAACCCATGGGACAGTAAAATCTCACAGGACACAGTTTGTATAACTTGTGCTTCTGGAAGAGTCTGCACTGGGTGGGAGGAAGCAGGAGGAAAAGAAATATTATAAGTAATAAGAGAGCCAGGCTTTGAAGATGGCAGATCCAAGGAAGAAACTAAGAACCCAAGAACCCTAGAATTTCCTCCTATTCAACTTATTGCCTCCCCTTGCATATCCCACAGGCAACCAAGCCCCTAAGGGAGCTGAGCTGCTGTTAATAAGCCTACCTTAGGAAAGGATGAAAGAGTCAGCTCATCCAGCAGCAATAAAATCCAAGTGGATTTGCACTTGTATAAATCCAGGGAGAATTCTCTCCTTCCAACATGATGGTATATTCAATACATACGTGCAGTCTCAAGCCTCAAAATCAGCAAGTAAAATTCCTGATGTCAAAGAAAGACTATCCATGGTGTGAAATAAAATGAATGCTGTCTAGCAATCCCATCTTGCTTGCTCGTTTACAACCCACTCATGTCTCACTTCCCAAACCATTCCAAACACTAAGAGTTAAAAATATAGCATGAAAAAATACTTTTTCTCTGTGTACTGAATTACCAGCTTTTCATTAAAACCCTGGAGAGACCCTTTATACTTAAAATCTCAACATTTACAAGCTGAGTGCTTTTACTTATAATTTCAGTTTCTTTCCCCAGAATACTTGATCTCTTTCTTCAATTTTCAGTTATGCTTGTTTCAAACATCAGTTTTTAACTCTAGGGTTTCTCTGGGGACAGAGCAGCCAACAACACAGTTTTCAGGAAAGTCTCTCTGGGACACTAAAAATGCAGAGAAGAAACTCCAAGCTGTAAGGAACAGGGCAGAAGTGGGCCAGAATACATGACCACAGATGCTGTGCAGAACTGTGGTTCTTTAGGGTGTATGCTGCATGCTAAAAGACCTCTAAAAACTTCCTGCTCTATTCTGATATTCTTATATCTCTTTAGTGATTTTTTAACTTTGCAAAAAAAGAGAAAAATCCTGATAAAATACAGGTAAGGAAGAGTACAGCAAAACAGCTCAGATCCTTAGAAATATTGGCATGCAGAAGATAAAGGGAGATGAAAAAAATACCCTAAAAGTAATATTTTTATATTAATCATTTTATCGATCACTTCTTAAGGGTAGTGCCAAAATGGACTGATAGGGCCTCAAAAATATTTAAATTGCTTCCTTTATGCTTTAGCTCCAGTACTCTTTAGGAAAGAACCTTTTCTTTGCCTCCACTGAATGACAGTCAAGGGTAAGGTGCCACATTCTTACTAAGTTTCTGAAAAGTTTTGCTTGCTTTGTCATTTGAAATGGAATAACATCATCACCACCTTTACCATGACTGGCCAGGTCAGAGAGGCTCTAACTCTCCAGTTAGAGAGAGTTTTTTCCGTACACAGCTTCCACCAAAAATTACGGCAGCAATGTTCTTCTCCCATGTTGCTGCCTGATAGCCACCAGAATCTCATGGTTGGTACTTTTTAATTAAAGCAGCTGTGTGAACAAATGGAGGCAGCATTTGCTGCACTAATCTAAAGGAATATAAACATCTCTCTCAGCATGTAAAGGTTTCAACAGGTATGAGGTCCACATCAGAAGCCATAGTTGTATGATGATCTTCAGGGTCTTCCACATATTAAAATAAAAAGTCACAGTACTTGTATGCATTAAAATCCAGCAAGATTGCCAAGACACTAATTGTCAGATACAGGAAAAATGCCAGGAAATTTAGTACAGCTAAATGATATGTAGGCCTGTGAGACTTGGCAAAACCCAAGAGAGTTAATTATTACATTATTGATAAAGTCGAGGACTTTTAAAATGTTTGGCCTTGCTTTCTTGACACAAAGGATTAAGGGTTAAGGCAACTTGCTCTCTCCGTGCAACCCCCGATGCAAGCAAATCTATTACAATCAATGGGAATTATGCCTGAGTAAGGACAGGACACTGAACTGGTCTCTGTGTCCTACGTATAGTCCTGCTTTAACGACTGCCTGAGCCACTGAATTCCCCCTGGCTTCTCCCTTTCCCTCTCTCCTGAAGGGGAAACAGAACAGTGCTTTGAATAATGTTGAGCTGAGCTTTGAGCCTTCTATCCAGTGTGAGGGCAGTGTCTAAGGGTGCAGGGAATATTCCAAGGAACTGTAATTCAGAGACAATTTTTTTGTCTCTTCTCCCACACAGAAGTGTAAAGAGTAGTCACTGCTTGGTTTACTGATGTTTGTTTAACTCTATGATGGTAGCTACTAGTTATAGACTGATGGTCTGTCTGTGTAAGTGCTGTGCACACATAACAAAGGTGTTCCCAGTTTCAGAATTGTTAGAGCCTCGTGACAAGAAATAGCAGATATGCATCACAAGCACACAGGGAAGGGGTGTGCTGAGACAGTGAACAATTAACTTCCCATTCCAACCTCTAAATGAGGGATGAGTATGAACAAACTACACACCATCCATCCAGGTGGACAGGAGCACTCTCCAGTGATGTGGTGGCAGACTCCCCCATTCTGGCAAGGACAGCGCAATTCACACTGAGCTCCGTGACTGCCTGGGGGACAGCGCTCTTCACAACTTTGTGGAGACAGAAAAAAAAAACAAAACCAAAGAGATCATTTAAAAGAACTTACAGGAAACAATAAATAAGGAAAATCCACAACACAGGCCATCATGGGAGTCCGTATGCAAATGATGAAACCTCCGTAAGCCTCAACTGGCATTATCAATTAGCCAAGATTTCTTTTATTTCTGCTGGGGTTATTTATATGCCATGGATCCAGTCCTGCAAGGCTGATGCATGTGTGTAATCTTTATGCATGTACCAATTTCCACCCATCTCAACAGGACAACTCATATCCATTAAAATAGCCCAGGAAAGTAAGAGTTGCAGGATGAAGCCCTCAATGTGAATTATGTCGCATGGCAATAAAAGCAGCTGCAAATAGAATAAAAGGATGGGATTAAAATGCTTGAAATTTCTCCAGTCACTACTTAATGTTAACATTTGCAGTGTATAATGGATGGGCAAGAAGTCAGCATCATTTAAAGGCTATTATTTAAGCTCATTGGGTCTCTCTGAGTATTCATGGGGGGCCAAAGTAAGGTTAGTCCCTACAAGAACCAGTGTCTCCTACATTTGCACATTGGTGCTTTTCAGCATTGCTTCTTTCTCTAATCCCAGATTCTGAAACCAGAGTAGGTTCTTCCCCTAACTGACTATCCTTTGATGAGGATGTTTACACAACATATTGGGTGTTGGCCCTGCAAGTACTTACTGCTGAGAACTGACATACTAATGTTAATAGGACCACTCCTAATAGTAAGCAGACTTTAGCAGTGAGTGCTTCCAGGACTGAGGTCACAAGTCTATGAGGAAATCAGGTACTAAATAAAATATTCAAATGGCATATCACTTATTTCTGAGGGTTAATATTGTCTTTATTTTTTACCTTCCCCTTCATGCAGGTCAACAAATAATATTAGCCTGCAAAAGTATTAAGTCATCCGTAATAGATCTCCAACCAAATTCAGTGACTAAATTCTCTTTTCCCCTTAAATAATTTTGAAAAACATAATTACTTCTGAAACTACTGAAAGATCTCTAATGAGAACTGATGTTACACTGTGGGCAATTTAAACAAGGAACTATTGCTTGCTGTCCTAAAATTAATATGCAGATTTTGTGAATCCTACTGGTAAACTTTCAGTGTGGTGGATGGGGATTTAGCTACATGATTCTCGTTAAAGTTAATAGGAGTCACACTGCTAAATCCCTGCTCACTATGCTTAAAATTTACCCCCTAGATAGTAAGCTGATATAGTTAACAGTAATGCTTCCTCAGTTAGATTGAAAGTCAAATAAATTGAGGATGGTAAGTCCCATTTGATACTGCACTGGACTGCTAATGAGTAGAATGTCCAATTGCTTATAAAAACTCAACTGTAATTTGGATTGTATTCACATACTGAAGTTAGGAACAGGTACAGTTGTTGTACAAGCTGGAAAATATAATGGATTTTTAAGTTCATTTTAGCACTAAATTTCATTTTATTATGCAGACAGGTATAATAGCAGCAAAAAAAGAGATTTCCTTTATTTAGCCTGTCTGAAATTCTGTTACGTCATTTCTACAAAGGAAAGTGTGTAATATATAGATGGTGTAAATTTTGCGAATTACTCATTGCATTAAAAGCAGTCAAAGCAAGGCTGTTAAATGATGCAGAGTAAAATACACCTATCATTGAACTTACAATACCCCCGTGTATCCGGGAGCACAGTGACATTCTCCCGTTTTATGGTCGCAGGTAGCTCCGTTGTGACATTGGCATTTAAACTGGCAGCCCTTGCCGTAGCTCCCAGGGTCACAGAGCTCTTCACAGCGCCATCCTCGGTACCCATCTGCGCAGACGCAGGCACCCGTGATGGGGTTGCAGAGAGCCTCATTCTGACACTGGCAGCGGTTGCTGCAGTGGGGTCCCCAGTGATCGCTATCGCAACCTGGAAAACATACAGTCATTTACCAAGATGATTAGGAAAGTGCATCGTAAGCATCTCACCCCAGCCTCTTATGCTTAGGTTGGCAAGCAGGCAGAGGCCTTGTTAATACCAGGAACTTTCTAAAGGGCCCTCAGACTTTCTAAAACTACTCCCCTGATCCAGCAACGTATTTCAGCATGCAAGGAGATGACAGCACTGGTATTATACCTAAATTTGAGGACTTGTTTAACACCATTATTGGATCAGGACCTAAATCTTTTAATATCCTGTTTCTTAGTGCTCTTAGATAGCTGGAAGGAATGAATTTATAGTGGAATTAGATGCAGAGGATCACATCCTGACTGCAGTGTAGTTAATGGCAGGTAGTATTGCCAAGCAAATCCTGTAGATTTAATAATGTCATCAAATATTGTTTCTTTGCACTGTTCCCATAAGATAATAAATACTATAATCTAAAGAAGGCTTTCTCCTTTGGTGTTGCTTTTTTTCCTTAGGGTTTTTTTTTGCTGGAGTAAAGAGATGGTAGGGAAGAAAATAACACAGGAGATGGGATTTCATGAGGTCGCTTAAACCAGGCTTAGGGATGAAGGTATGGAGTGTGTATGTCAGGTAATTTCTGTGCTAGTAACAGTATGTACTACCATTACAGAAGGGCCCCAAACCCTATGGTCATTGACGCAGATGGGAGGTTCCCTACAGAATGCGTGAAAGCACAGTGAGAACCCTTCACATGACAATCCTGCCTGATCCCTTCTCCTTGTTTGTGGACCATATGCAGGATAAGAGAGGGAAGTCAGCATTACAGAAACAGCAATGAGAACCTGCAAAACACCCATTTAAGGTGTATGCATATTAAACAGACAGCTCAAAGCAAACACCCAGAGATTAAGGTTTCCTCAGCAAATGGTTAGCAGAAAACCGAGGATTTCTTCAGTAGTCCTACCCTCCGCTTAGCGGCCTTTCAATATAGCTATGTCAAGATGAAGAAAATCACCATTCTATTCAGAATAGAGTTGCTGGCAAAATCCCTGGTAAAGATGCAGTTACAGATCATTTTCCAGGTACAGCTGGTTGTGCTCAGACAGCTGGTTTCAATTATTCCAACAACTCCTCTGCTAGTGTAAAAATCCACTACCATGCAAGAAACAAGTGTGTAATCCCAGCAACATAGCTGTCTTCACAAACTCTTCTATTTGCAAACATGTAAACTAACCCCCAGACGACACTCGCTGCTTCTCAGGCCTGGATCTCTGTTTCCAGACTTAGCAAGGTAAATGTAAAGCCTATTTAAGCCTGAATCTCTTGTCCTAGAAATTTCACAGCCCTCTCCTTCTATGGTACATGGCTATAAACCCACACTACATGACTAGATATCTCAGTTAATTTTGGCAATCTTTTTGTCCTTTTCATCAGTCAGTCTGAGGATACTTAGCAGAAAAAGAAGGGAAAGAGACTTTACTCAACTAGCATTGCTGATTACCAATTTACAAACTTGTGTTTCTTGAGCAACAGTGTTAAAGGCCAAAATAAACCCATGAGAAGACAATTCCAGTGTCTCCAGAAGGATCTTCAGGGTCTTACAGGATGCACGTGCAGAGAGATGGTTTCATGTTCTGCAGAAAGCAGAGTATGCAAGGTACCCCTGTGCATAATCCTGCTCATGCCTCACACAAGATACTTTATTGCTTTGCCTCATTTTTCCCACAGCTGTAAACAGGGATGATAGTTCCTCACTAACACCGCCGGGAGCCAAGCAAACAAAATCTTACTCTTTATAAGTCTTAAATTATTACTGAGAATCTGTAGAAAGAGATGATCTATCTTTATTTCACATAGACACTTACTAAGACTCTGTAAGCCTTCTGGGGCAGGGAGCAAATCTGCTGGAGCTGATAGAGTTTCCCAGCAATTTCTGTTCCAGAAACACTGATTTGTTTTCCACAGAACTTGAACATCAAGGGATGCAGTTCTGCACCTCCACAAAGGGTACAAATCTGAACCATGCAAGCATAGCCGATAGCCCTTTGCATGGGGAACTGGAATCTGGGAATCCAACTTAACCCTGCCTGCTTCAGGGACCTAATTCCTACCTTACCACACTTCACATTAAAGCCCTCACTTCCAGACTGTGGGTTGCTCTGGGCTGATATAATTCCAGCTGCAATTAATTTGCTTAATATGAATAAATAACACTCATTAGAAGACATGTCTTATATGCTTGGTCTTCCATGTCTCAGGTGAGTGCTCCAGTCATCAGATTTGTCTGCTCAGTTTGTGTTTTTCACTTTGAAAGAAAGTGAAGGAGAAAGCAAACCTTTTATAGAAAGGAAAAACCATTTCCCATGGTCAGCTCAAACATCTTGTTTCACATTTATAGTGTCTGCCCCAAACACAACTCCTTTTATGTAAATCAATCTTATTTGAACACTTATATACTATTTATATTTCCTCATATGCTTGCTTTCTCCCTGTACCAAATTTCACTCCACAATCTAGCCAAAGGCAAGAGCAAAATGCTGAAGTAAAGAGCAGAAATTCCTCTAATTGGTTGTAAAATCATAAAAACCCAAAGCTGGATAATAAAAGAAGCCTGCAGTGACCAGAAAACTAGCTGGCAGTTAGACAGATTTTTCCAAAGGCTTCTAAGTACAAGGCATCAGTGAGCACACATTTCAACATTCAGTATGTTTAGGCCAAAGTAGCTAGCCAAAATGTTTTAATTATCTATGAAATAAAACAGCTTGGCATACCAGATAGCTACTAAGAATGTGAATTTCATGGGGATTTATTAGGGAGAGGACATAAAAATGAGGATTAAAGTACATCTGAATGCTCATGGAAGACAGAAAAAAACTGAATTACAAAAAGATGGGGCTTCTACCATGTCTCATTTACAATGCCTGACACAGCCTTTGCACTTGTTAGGCTTCTTTTTATCTTCCTAAAACTACCAGCAGGTTTTGACTACATTTCTCTAAATGGTTTGAAACCGGAGTCATAGTATGTGTCTATACCCAAGGTGAACACAGTATGTATGTACGACCAAGGTGAACATCCTGTTGTCTCTCTAGTGACGGGATCATATATACACAATGACAAGTTGGCCTCTTCTCGATTTAAGTCTTTACCTCGGATGGTAAAGATTTTCTGCTTTTAGCTATCAGTTCAAGCCCTATATATGTCACAATGAGCAGAGCCATTTCATGCACTATCAATTCATCCACTGCTGATTAATTGCAAAGGGAATTGAGTGAAATTCATTGGCAATGTGCTAGTGTAAAATTTGTGATAATGAAATATCTTCCTCCCCTGATTTTACACTGCAGTAATCTCACAGGAAAATAAGATCTTTGTTGCTCAAAGTTTATCAATTCCTGTTGGTTTTCTTTACCCCCTTCCTTTAAGTCCCATATTGCAGTGACAGACTGTGGAATTGCAAGTAAATTTTTTACCAATGTGATTTCACTGGGACATTATGTGATATTTATATTGTGACTACTCATAGATCTGCACTGTGGCAACTTCTATACCTTTACAAAGGTAGGCAGATACAGAACTGATAAGCTAAGTCCAAGTACTTATTCATGCAAGTAATTCCACTGAGCTCAGTAGGACCACTCGTGTGTGAGACTACTCAAGTGCATAACCAGCAATGGGATTGGGGTCTAGTAGTTCCTGCTAGAAAATTAAAAAACAGAAGAAACCAAAGACTCCAGCAACAAGACATATATTTTCTATACACATCAGTGTGGCAAATCCTAGCTGGTATGTGATAGCGATTCCAGTTTCTGAGATACAGGGCAAAGCAGCCTCGGAGCCACGGAAGCCTGCTGCACTTCAGGATTGTTAGCACCAGTTCTCCTGTGGGCACAGAGAGGCCATTTTAAAATACAACCCCAAGCCCAGCACAGTCTAATCCTGCTCTTGTTGATAGCCTCTATGTGTTACCATAATAGAGATAAATAATAATAGCAACAACATGTGAACAGAAAGCTGATTAAAGCTTACACAAGAGCTACACTGTAAATGCATATGCCATTAAAAATGTCAAAATGATACAGAGACTTTAACTATACCATCAATAAGAAAAGCAACCTGAGAGTGGTGATGTCAGGGAGGTACAAATGCTCCCTTTAGACTGCATGTGTGGATGTCAATACCATGAGAGATGAGTCTGAAATAGCTAGCTCTCTCTTGGGAGATGCTACATTAAAGGGAGCTGCCATATTTCAGGTCATGTGCCAACATTCCCTGGCAAACGTGCTAACTTACTTTTTCTCCTTCGAAAATATGACTAGAGATTAATCGTTACCAATAAAAATGAATATAACTCTGTAAAGGATGATGCTGGGTGCCTAAGCATAATTACAGTTGTCTGCATACAGTAGTATGACAGGTGAAAGATTCATCCCTCCATGGAAAGCTTGCTCGACATGGCAAAAGTGTTTTCTTCCTCGCTGCATCCCTACCCCCACCCTGAAGCCTCAGTGGCTTGTTGAAGTGAGGGCTAATTACAGCAGGCTCTGCGTATCTGCCGCTATAGTCGTGCATGACATCCTGCTACCAATTCTGTCTTAAATACACAACAAGGACACATTGGAAGTGCTGCTTTACTCCCAAATGGCTCTTTTCCCCTCTAGGAATGATTAGTGAATTGCTCTGCTCTGGGTCAACAGAGCTACCCAGTATTTAGTGCAGCAGCACAAGTTGGACAACGATGAAGTAAACGCACAAGTTTGAAAATTTAGCAGATAAATAAAAGGACTCCCAAGGAAGGGACGACATTTATCAAGCGACTTATCCTAACAAGAGAGTCAAAAGTGTTCTTCTAGTGCTTTTCCATCACTGCAAAGATGCACTATTAATATGAAAACAGCATATTTTATCACAGCAGCACCAGAATCTGTGCTCATAAGGTCTGTGTTTATTTTGTTCTCATTAGCATAAGCCTGCATGTATCTCCTTTTATAGCTAGTGACCAGTCTTGTATTCTAGGTGTG